GTGCATTAAAGAATGCAGTATAGTGCTAGGAAGTGACTCCTAGGTCGTCTCTCAAGGACCAAATGTGGTTCGAGGCTTAGATCAAACACGTAGTGGGGGATTTTGAAAGTATTTTTGTGATTCAAAATGAACTAAATTAAAACTGGAAATTAAATACAACCAAATATAATTGAAAATATTGAAATAAATGGACAAAGCATGAAGACCGAACTGTTCTACATTGAGACCAAACGGTCTCTAAAGCAATTGAGGAAATTGGAAATGCAGGAAGATAAAGAAGCCGAACAGAATAAACATCATAATGAACGGAAACAATAAACCAAACATAATAGACAACATAATGAACTGAAAAAGTAAACTGAACAATGCAAAAGGTAAATATCCAAACACAATTAAAACTGTTAAAATGCAACACTTCAATTAAAAAGATTAATGCTCATCGTAGTTATTTATCCCACACATCCATCACGGAAACAACACTAAAAAAAAATGCTTGAACAGGAATAATATAGATTAGTAAGCTACTTAACCTGAATGTATACCAATATCAATAATAATCCAACACACAAAAAAAATACTTTTAGGTGCAAGCTTAAAGCTAGTAAAATGAAACTCTTTGAGCTTTCTTTTTCTCCCTGGACATAACCGTGTGTGCCTCATGCTCTTCATCAAAGAAAAGAAAAACAAATACTAGCACCGTACACCTACTACTTCTGCCTAGGCCATCACTTCAAAAGAAAATGGAATAGAAGATGCTTCAAGAATTCCTTCTTAGCCGTGACCTGTACACCAACTCACATCCCATCACCTCTTCATTCTCAAAGAAATAAAGGAAATAATTCTTACACACCCAGCTGCCAAATCCCTTGGCACGTCGCATCCTCCTAGACTCCCACCTAATATACTTCTCATTTCATAAAAACTAAAAAAAAAGCTACTATCATTCCAGCAACCGTAACATCACTTTTATTCATTCCAGCAAAGAAAAGAATTCCATCACCGTGTCACCACTTCCTTCTCAATCTCCGTGCAGCACCTAATGGAATCAGCGCCTACTCTTCGTTTCTAAAAGCTTCAATCACCATTTCTTTTCTTCAACCGTAGCCCTCCATGCTTCAATGTCCGTGTACTACCAAAAACAAGAGTTGAATGTGTCTTCTGTGGTTGGTGGCTGCTGCAGCAAGAAAAGATGATCTATACCACCCGTCATGTGCTTCCTCAAAACTGCTGGGCCTCTCTCTTTTTCTGCTGCTTCCTGGACGCGTTTTTTTTTTCTCCAAGCTGCTAGATGCGTCAGCTTAATCATGGGCCGTGTTGGACTCTCCTATCCGCTGCTGCCAAGCTAATTTCCATGGTGCACGCTGCTTCACTTCTTGCTGGACACAACCCCTGCTGGACCAGCTGTTGTCCGCATGATGGCTTGTTGGACTTTTGATGTGAGCTGTTGTACGCTGCTGCCAAGATGGACCTGCAAGCTGTTGGATTCTCCTTGGACGCGTGTTGTTGCTGCTGGACATGGGATGTTACTGCTGCCCGCGTGTTGCTTCTCTTGTGCAAGCAATCTGCTGGACTCTCCAAATCCTCAATTGAATTCAACCCGTGAGGTGCTTGATGCTGTCCGCGTGAATTGCTGGACGTCACCTCAAATTTGCTGGACTAAGGTCGTGATGTGCTGCTGTTGTGTGCACCTCTTGCTTTCCTTAGTGCCTTGTTGTTCCAGGTCGTGCTCACCAAAATTCAATCCCGTGCACCTCTCCAAAATGAAGGCCCCTTTCTCCCAGCCAGCTGGACGATCATGTGCACACCAAAGCTGCTGGATTTTGTGGACGTGGCAGTAGCGCTCCAAAATCGATTTCCCATGGGCCGTGACACCACACTACTGGACCATTTCCCTCACAACATGCTTTTATTTCCTTTGGGCCGTGAGCTTCCCTTCCATGTGCATGTGAAGTGCTACTGTCGTGTGCTACCAAGTGTGGGTCGTGTTGCTACTGCCTCTACTAGACCATCATGATTAAAAACAAATGAAATCAGCACTCCCTCCAATGCTTCCAGCCGCTCCAATTAATTTCCATGGGCTGGGTGTGCTATTGCCTTTTTCTTTGTGCACACCTCCTTTTCCATTTTACAAAAAAAAAATGTAAGTGATGTGGCATTTCTCTAAGTCCTAAAATATTACCCAACAATTTTCCTACAATTAATAATGTAAATAATTAGTTTCAGATAATTCAAATTAGTTAAAATAAAAATTTATTTTCAAATTAAGAAGAATTAGTAAAAATGAAAAAATACCGGACATTTAAGCACAATTCCTGATTAATTCTAGCACAATAAACTAGGTAAAGTCAAGAAAATATTGACTCATCAATGAGTACATGAAGAATTCTAAGTGATGTGGCGTTTGTGGAGTCAATCAAAGGGCTCAAGTTTGAAGTTTATGTGAAGTGGTTTCTTGGTGATGGTGGTGCATCAAGTGTAGTTGAGCGAAAGATGGGAGCAAGTGTTATGGGAATCCAGGATGTATGTTAAATGCAAGTGAAGAAGAAATGATGTTGTTCTTTCATAAGTTTAGGTGTGATCACTAGTGAGGTTTCGTGGTTTTCAAATTGTTCTCTGGTGGTTTATGGTCTTCAAGAGAAGCTTCGTGTTTCAAAAAGGAGGGTCAGTGGTTATACCTCAGTTGTGAATCAAGTAAGAAAGTGAAGAAAAAGGGTTGTTAGAATAAAAAAAAGTTAACATGGATATGTGAAGAAGAGAAGATCAGGTCTTTGTGGCATAAAGGGTTTTTGTTTGGTGTTTGAAGCAAAGTTAAGGGTATCAATTCCTTTTTGGATTATTTCTGTGGAGGATGTGGAGTAAAATAAGCAGGCAATGGTTTGGTTGAAGAAGTAATGGTTTGGACCTAGTGTAATCGTTGAAAAAAAAACTACAAGTTTGATAGATCTCCGAAGAAAAGTAGATGATCGATTGGAAATCGTTTAGTGTAAGTTTGGGCAACTAGGAACGACTTTTGGAATGTACGTTTTTCAGGGATTAGGAATATTGTTTAGGAAACAAGACAACGAGGTTATCGTGAAAGAGAATAGTTCTTAGGGTTTTAGCAAGATCATAGTTATTTTGAAGAAGGTTCTTCAAGGGTGATTGTTTTTGGGTTGCAGTTGACATGAAGAATGAGTTATTTTCAGTAGGATGATGAATAAGGAAGTATGTGAATCAGAGTAGTGCAGCAGATGATGGTGGGCATGTTCTTATCAGAAAGTGGTGTGTATGAAGAACTTTCTTAATCATGGGTTGGTGGTTTGTGAGGGATGAGTTTCTTTAAAACAATATTGGTGTTGGTATATGAGAATAAGTTAAGAGTGTTTGGTGATCTTCAAGAATCAGATGTGATTTTAGGAATGGAAGAAATAGATATGAGGCAGAGAAGACAAGTGAGCCTACAGTTTGAAGTAGCAATGCCAACCTTGAAGTGAGAGAGCACAAATGGACAATGAAAAAAGAGAGCGGGTTAGTGGACGAAGGGGATGAATTGAGATATGGTTTTGAGTATAGTGTCAATCTTGAGATAAGGAAGTGTTAACATATGGTTTGAACAAAGAAGAGATTCAAGTTCTTGGTTTGATAAGATTTGAGTAATAGTTGGTTGAAGAATATGAAGACCGGGGTGTCTAAAGTGAAGTTGTAAAGAAATTTCATTAGTATAGTTGAAATATTATAACTAGTGGGTTTCTCAAAATGGTTGAGAAAGGGCAGTTTAGACAATCCTAGTTTGAGATGTATCATAAGTTGCTTTGGTATTGATCAAGCTAGTGATCTTAAGTCGAGGAGGATACAGATCAAAGTATGATTACAGGCTAGGGGGTCAAGAAATGCATATGGTTCAAGTTAGTGAGTTAACAAAGTGAAGATGTAGTGCTTAAATTGATTTTGTCGCTGCAACGAAGAAGAATATTACTTTGGTAATGGGATAACATAGTGGGAAACTATGCTACTAATTACAAATTTATGAACACCGAAAAACGGCGCCACAAACTTGTTTAACAATCGACAAGTGTGACCAAATCGTATCAAGTAATAAAACAAGGTAAGACCAAGTATCGTTTTCCCAAAGGACTCACGGCCTAGTTTAGCTATATGATTTGTTGATTATTTAAGACTTAAGAACAAATTGACTTTAGGTTTAAATGCAAAAGACAGTAATTAAATATGTATGCATGAATTTGATCAATGGAGAGAATAAAATACAAACACTTCAATGAATTAGATGGATGAGTATGTTGTTGGGGTTATCAATTTCATCTTATCCACTCTCATATACTTTAGGAATTCATCATTCTTTTCATCAATGCTAATGTCACTCTCTAAATCACCTTGCAAGAAGGCCTATCCTTAATTATGAATTCATACAATTCCTAGCATTTCTAGTAATTAGTTCTTAAGTACAGGAGTTTAACGGCAACCAATATACTATTGGGAGAAATTTCCCGGATCTAGATTTCCCTGTACGTTCCCATATCGACAAAACCAATAATCATAACAATGAATGAGTTACAATATATTGTGTCAATTATTTCCCTTAGACAACATATGATCGATACATTGTTTACATTAAAATATTAATTGCTATTTATTGAAGAGGAAACACATTTAACAAAAAATATATAAAAGTCATAATATCATTCAATACTAAGCTTAATTTAATTAATTTTGTATATGCTCTAAAATACACGAAGTTTTTGTCTTTCAAAATTGAAAATAAAAATAATATTCAGAAACTTTGTAGTGGGAAGATCTTCTTAACATCACATGCATTCTTTCATGCTTCTTCTTTCATGCTTCTTCTTCCGAGCTTCTTCTTCAGATGGAGAATATCTTCATATGGAGATACTTAGTATAACAGTTAATTTAACATGATTTAATATTTAAAATTCATAATATCCTACTATATTTAGAATGATTTAATTAATTGGTATAAACTCTGTGGAGTTTTTCGTTTTTAAAATTGAAAATAATCTCCACAAAGTTATTTAGGGGAACATATTCTTAAGATTTATTTTGAAGAAAGAAAGTTTCTCCACATGTCACCGTTGCTCCCCTCTCAACGTTGAGAAACCTATAAAATGGAAATGATATTTCTCATTATTAAGTTTCACAACAAAAAAATATACATTTGATAAATGCTTCTTATATTTTTGCGTTTTGTTATATATATATATATATATATCATTTATAAAATTGTAACATTTATAAAATTGTAACATTTATAAAATTGTAACATTTATAAAATTATAACATTTATAAAATTATAACATTTACATCTCCTTATAATAAACTCATTTATAAAAGTATATATCATCAACACACATAATAAAAAGAAAAAATAAATAAATGCCCGACACGGGTTTTCTATATATTTTCATGGATGAAAATTTACATGAGAAAAACAAAAAACAAATAGGCTGCTGCTTTGAAAAGATCATACAACAATAACCAACAATAACCGATTTACCTCCAGTTTAGGTATAGCAGTACTCATTTTTTTTCATATCAAATTTCTCAAGAGATGCAGTAACAAAATTTGTTTGTAATATTGTCCTATATTATTTAGTTATTATTAGTAGAATTTATTGATAAATATTTAACTAATTTAATTTATTATTTTTTACTGTACCAAACATTGCATGCTCTAAAACATAGGTGATCTCAGCTGCATTTATCTGTTGCAGTAGTTTTTATATGCTAACCTGTTGATACTGTAATGTTTTTGCTGTGAAAGATGAGATCGTTTATTTGATTAGCAGCAACACCCATGTATTTTTTATGCATGCATTTGTTGGATCTCTTCTTACCTGTTTGCAAAATCATATGGTTAGAAGATCTAATAATAGAAATATAATTTGTGAATAAGATATTTCTGCAACAGTTTATAAGATCAACTATACAAAATATACAAGTTTTTCAAGTAAGAAATTGAAGTTGCATATGTTTATAAAATATAAAATCCTATGAAGACTTACCCATTGAAAAGCTTCGGCAGCAAAGAAAGAAAGGAAAGACGTATGGAGTTTTCGGCGGCAGTATAGAAAGAGAAGGAAGACAAAAGAGAGCGTATGAGTTTTAGGGTTTTATGTTAACTTTATATAGATGATGAGGGTCCCACTTTTTTAATTATGTGGTTATAAAAGATCTCTCATCATTTAAAACATTAAAATAGATATAAAATTATAATTTTGAACAATTTGCATCATAATATATAACAACGTTATAAAATTGATATAAATGAAATAAAATTTTACTCAATAAAAAAATTATCACTCAAATAAATGTTTCATACTAAATTGAATATTCATTAACATAATGAAATATATATAATGATAGAAAAAACTATGATCAGCTTAATTAAAATAATATGATATTATTATTATTATTATTATTAATGAATTAATTAATTATCTAAACTTCTATAAAAAATAACTTAGTGTTTATAATATCTATTATAAAACATTAAAAAAATCTTTAAATAGCAACTAATTTTAAAAATAAAGATAATTAGTTAAAGATAACTAATTTAGATATTAGTTTATAAATTATAAATTATTTCTTAAAAATAGTCACAATTATGAATAAGAAGCAAAGGTGTTTTACAGAAGCCACTCTTGAAATTGAAATGTGAAATGAATGCACTGGCTTTTGCTACATTAGTACATTNAATGTACGTTTTTCAGGGATTAGGAATACTGTTTAGGAAACAAGACAACGAGGTTATCGTGAAAGAGAATAGTTCTTAGGGTTTTAGCAAGATCATAGTTATTTTGAAGAAGGTTCTTCAAGGGTGATTGTTTTTGGGTTGCAGTTGACATGAAGAATGAGTTATTTTCAGTAGGATGATGAATAAGGAAGTATGTGAATCAGAGTAGTGCAGCAGATGATGGTGGGCATGTTCTTATCAGAAAGTGGTGTGTATGAAGAACTTTCTTAATCATGGGTTGGTGGTTTGTGAGGGATGAGTTTCTTTAAAACAATATTGGTGTTGGTATATGAGAATAAGTTAAGAGTGTTTGGTGATCTTCAAGAATCAGATGTGATTTTAGGAATGGAAGAAATAGATATGAGGCAGAGAAGACAAGTGAGCCTACAGTTTGAAGTAGCAATGCCAACCTTGAAGTGAGAGAGCACAAATGGACAATGAAAAAAGAGAGCGGGTTAGTGGACGAAGGGGATGAATTGAGATATGGTTTTGAGTATAGTGTCAATCTTGAGATAAGGAAGTGTTAACATATGGTTTGAACAAAGAAGAGATTCAAGTTCTTGGTTTGATAAGATTTGAGTAATAGTTGGTTGAAGAATATGAAGACCGGGGTGTCTAAAGTGAAGTTGTAAAGAAATTTCATTAGTATAGTTGAAATATTATAACTAGTGGGTTTCTCAAAATGGTTGAGAAAGGGCAGTTTAGACAATCCTAGTTTGAGATGTATCATAAGTTGCTTTGGTATTGATCAAGCTAGTGATCTTAAGTCGAGGAGGATACAGATCAAAGTATGATTACAGGCTAGGGGGTCAAGAAATGCATATGGTTCAAGTTAGTGAGTTAACAAAGTGAAGATGTAGTGCTTAAATTGATTTTGTCGCTGCAACGAAGAAGAATATTACTTTGGTAATGGGATAACATAGTGGGAAACTATGCTACTAATAACAAATTTATGAACACCGAAAAACGGCGCCACAAACTTGTTTAACAATCGACAAGTGTGACCAAATCGTATCAAGTAATAAAACAAGGTAAGACCAAGTATCGTTTTCCCAAAGGACTCACGGCCTAGTTTAGCTATATGATTTGTTGATTATTTAAGACTTAAGAACAAATTGACTTTAGGTTTAAATGCAAAAGACAGTAATTAAATATGTATGCATGAATTTGATCAATGGAGAGAATAAAATACAAACACTTCAATGAATTAGATGGATGAGTATGTTGTTGGGGTTATCAATTTCATCTTATCCACTCTCATATACTTTAGGAATTCATCATTCTTTTCATCAATGCTAATGTCACTCTCTAAATCACCTTGCAAGAAGGCCTATCCTTAATTATGAATTCATACAATTCCTAGCATTTCTAGTAATTAGTTCTTAAGTACAGGAGTTTAACGGCAACCAATATACTATTGGGAGAAATTTCCCGGATCTAGATTTCCCTGTACGTTCCCATATCGACAAAACCAATAATCATAACAATGAATGAGTTACAATATATTGTGTCAATTATTTCCCTTAGACAACATATGATCGATACATTGTTTACATTAAAATATTAATTGCTATTTATTGAAGAGGAAACACATTTAACAAAAAATATATAAAAGTCATAATATCATTCAATACTAAGCTTAATTTAATTAATTTTGTATATGCTCTAAAATACACGAAGTTTTTGTCTTTCAAAATTGAAAATAAAAATAATATTCAGAAACTTTGTAGTGGGAAGATCTTCTTAACATCACATGCATCTTCTTTCATGCTTCTTCTTTCATGTACAGGAGTTTAACGGCAACCAATATACTATTGGGAGAAATTTCCCGGATCTAGATTTCCCTGTACGTTCCCATATCGACAAAACCAATAATCATAGCAATGAATGAGTTACACTATATTGTGTCAATTATTTCCCTTAGACAACATATGATACATTGTTTACATTAAAATATTAATTGCTATTTATTGAAGAGGAAACACATTTAACAAAAAATATATAAAAGTCATAATATCATTCAATACTAAGCTTAATTTAATTAATTTTGTATATGCTCTAAAATACACGAAGTTTTTGTCTTTCAAAATTGAAAATAAAAATAATATTCAGAAACTTTGTAGTGGGAAGATCTTCTTAACATCACATGCATCTTCTTTCATGCTTCTTCTTTCATGTACAGGAGTTTAACGGCAACCAATATACTATTGGGAGAAATTTCCCGGATCTAGATTTCCCTGTACGTTCCCATATCGACAAAACCAATAATCATAGCAATGAATGAGTTACACTATATTGTGTCAATTATTTCCCTTAGACAACATATGATACATTGTTTACATTAAAATATTAATTGCTATTTATTGAAGAGGAAACACATTTAACAAAAAATATATAAAAGTCATAATATCATTCAATACTAAGCTTAATTTAATTAATTTTGTATATGCTCTAAAATACACGAAGTTTTTGTCTTTCAAAATTGAAAATAAAAATAATATTCAGAAACTTTGTAGTGGGAAGATCTTCTTAACATCACATGCATTCTTTCATGCTTCTTCTTTCATGCTTCTTCTTCCGAGCTTCTTCTTCAGATGGAGAATATCTTCATATGGAGATACTTAGTATAACAGTTAATTTAACATGATTTAATATTTAAAATTCATAATATCCTACTATATTTAGAATGATTTAATTAATTGGTATAAACTCTGTGGAGTTTTTCGTTTTTAAAATTGAAAATAATCTCCACAAAGTTATTTAGGGGAACATATTCTTAAGATTTATTTTGAAGAAAGAAAGTTTCTCCACATGTCACCGTTGCTCCCCTCTCAACGTTGAGAAACCTATAAAATGGAAATGATATTTCTCATTATTAAGTTTCACAACAAAAAAATATACATTTGATAAATGCTTCTTATATTTTTGCGTTTTGTTATATATATATATATATATATCATTTATAAAATTGTAACATTTATAAAATTGTAACATTTATAAAATTGTAACATTTATAAAATTGTAACATTTATAAAATTATAACATTTACATCTCCTTATAATAAACTCATTTATAAAAGTATATATCATCAACACACATAATAAAAAGAAAAAATAAATAAATGCCCGACACGGGTTTTCTATATATTTTCATGGATGAAAATTTACATGAGAAAAACAAAAAACAAATAGGCTGCTGCTTTGAAAAGATCATACAACAATAACCAACAATAACCGATTTACCTCCAGTTTAGGTATAGCAGTACTCATTTTTTTTCATATCAAATTTCTCAAGAGATGCAGTAACAAAATTTGTTTGTAATATTGTCCTATATTATTTAGTTATTATTAGTAGAATTTATTGATAAATATTTAACTAATTTAATTTATTATTTTTTACTGTACCAAACATTGCATGCTCTAAAACATAGGTGATCTCAGCTGCATTTATCTGTTGCAGTAGTTTTTATATGCTAACCTGTTGATACTGTAATGTTTTTGCTGTGAAAGATGAGATCGTTTATTTGATTAGCAGCAACACCCATGTATTTTTTATGCATGCATTTGTTGGATCTCTTCTTACCTGTTTGCAAAATCATATGGTTAGAAGATCTAATAATAGAAATATAATTTGTGAATAAGATATTTCTGCAACAGTTTATAAGATCAACTATACAAAATATACAAGTTTTTCAAGTAAGAAATTGAAGTTGCATATGTTTATAAAATATAAAATCCTATGAAGACTTACCCATTGAAAAGCTTCGGCAGCAAAGAAAGAAAGGAAAGACGTATGGAGTTTTCGGCGGCAGTATAGAAAGAGAAGGAAGACAAAAGAGAGCGTATGAGTTTTAGGGTTTTATGTTAACTTTATATAGATGATGAGGGTCCCACTTTTTTAATTATGTGGTTATAAAAGATCTCTCATCATTTAAAACATTAAAATAGATATAAAATTATAATTTTGAACAATTTGCATCATAATATATAACAACGTTATAAAATTGATATAAATGAAATAAAATTTTACTCAATAAAAAAATTATCACTCAAATAAATGTTTCATACTAAATTGAATATTCATTAACATAATGAAATATATATAATGATAGAAAAAACTATGATCAGCTTAATTAAAATAATATGATATTATTATTATTATTATTATTAATGAATTAATTAATTATCTAAACTTCTATAAAAAATAACTTAGTGTTTATAATATCTATTATAAAACATTAAAAAAATCTTTAAATAGCAACTAATTTTAAAAATAAAGATAATTAGTTAAAGATAACTAATTTAGATATTAGTTTATAAATTATAAATTATTTCTTAAAAATAGTCACAATTATGAATAAGAAGCAAAGGTGTTTTACAGAAGCC